ATAGATATTCTGTGGATTTATAAAATGCAACCATAGATTTTTTAACTGTCCCGAAGTTTTAAAATTGTTAACTTTTAGTGATCACTATTCCCAAAAAACCAATGTTCTATCATGCTTCCTATTGTTTCATCTTTAAAATTAAGGCACAAATTAAAATCGATTATACCTTTTTATTACTGTAATAAAAATGTGGAACTTCTCATTAAAATTTATTTTACAACACAAATGATGATACCTCTTCCATTTCCTCAGAGTAATCTGGTACTACTCGTACAATGAATGGGTCATAGTGACCATATTCTTCTGTTATATCGTTATTTATATCCGATTCATTGTCACTTTCTGGTTCTTGTTTGATCCTTATAGGTTGCTGGGAAGTGGATTGAGTGTTTTGAGGACGATTCAAAGAGAAATCTTCATATTGCACATTCTGGAACATAGTAAATATTCTATAAATAAACATATTATCATTTTAACTCTGTAAACATTATCTTTAAAAGNAAAAATTTTTTTTTTTTTTTTTTTTTTTGTAATTCACGAAAAATGAATTGTAAAATTTCAGAACATCAATGGAATATGATTTAGTGGTATGTAATTCCTACCAAACATTGTTGAAAAAAATTAAAATATTGAGATAAATTTTCTTAAAATTATTACATGGAAGAAGAAGATTTCAATGTTACATTCAAAGGGTTCAATCTCACAAACATAGTAATACAAAATCTATAGATATTCTGTGGATTTATAAAATGCAACCATAGATTTTTTAACTGTCCCGAAGTTTTAAAATTGTTAACTTTTAGTGTCCACTATTCCCAAAAAACCAATGTTCTATCATGCTTTCTATTGTTTCATCTTTAAAATTAAGGCACAAATTAAAATCGATTATACCTTTTTATTACTGTAATAAAAATGTGGAACTTCTCATTAAAATTTATTTTACAACACAAATGATGATACCTCTTCCATTTCCTCAGAGTAATCTGGTACTACTCGTACAATGAATGGGTCATAGTGACCATATTCTTCTGTTATATCGTTATTTATATCCGATTCATTGTCACTTTCTGGTTCTTGTTTGATCCTTATAGGTTGCTGGGAAGTGGATTGAGTGTTTTGAGGACGATTCAAAGAGAAATCTTCATATTGCACATTCTGGAACATAGTAAATATTCTATAAATATATGCAAAACTTTGTTACAACAATAATAAGATTAAGTCATTTTCAGAAGTAAAAAAAAAAATAACAAAAAGGATGGTGTAGATAGCATATTATAACTTGAGTTCAAAGTTTTCTGTTAAAATGTTAATTCTATAAATATTTTTAAATGAAAAACACCAAAAATACAGAATTAAAAATAATTAAACCATTATATCAGTAAACTTTCTCATTCTTCATTTTTTTTTTTTGATTTAGTTGATAATTAAAAATTACTTCTGAATAAAAACTCTGAATTAAAATGATTTTAAGAACACAAAATTTCTGAATTTTAATGCTATTTATAGTTCTTAAGACAACTATTTTTCATACCTATCAACAAATTATCATTTTTCCCAGTACCTATATAAACTAATTCAAATGAATCCATCTACAACATTGTTCTACCAATGATAAGTAGAGCAAATATGTGGGGGGGGGAGAGAACATTTTTTATTCAACAAAAATACAATTATAATATAATAGAATTTATTATTTTATCATACATATCAGTGATTGGAATATAATAATATAAGGATCTATAGAATTATAAAAAAAAAACTGAAGAATCAATATGTCCTGAGGGAGGGGGAACTGGAGCTGTCCCTGAACAATGATATAAATTATGTCTGCCTTTAATTGTATGCAATGAATATCTCATGCAATAAATAAAATTTAATAAACAACTAATACTAACTTCATTTTTTGAAACCGGCATTGGTACATACAAAGTGCTAAATTGATCTTGGTGGATGATTGGGTTTGAGGGTAATAATCTATGAATATTATTACTTTCATGAATAATCATTTGACTTTGACTGAAAGTATAATTCGAATTAGAAGTATTTAATTATCATTAGAACAATTAAAATTTAAGAATAAGATATTGTTACCTCGAACTGTGTACTGCCATTTGACTCGAATCTTTATTAGCTTTATGCATCATTCTAAGCTTAGACTTTTTGTTTTTTGAAATTATTCGTGTTTTAGTGTATCCCTTGCAAACCGGGTCAATTCTTACACGTTTCAACAACGTTTTTGATTTACGTCTATTATTTTGAGTTGTTTCACTGCAACAAAATTATGTTTTATAATAATAGACATCCTAATCAATGCTATTTTTTTTTTTTTACCACTTTTTTTGATCCATTATAAGATAACGCTTACAAAGTAATAGTGATGTCCAAATAAATTTAAAAATAAAGTGTTTGAAAATTATTGTTTGTAAACTTTTAATTTTTTAAACATATGTAACAAGGTTTTGTGGTAAATCTGTATTGGAGAGTAGAAAATTGTTGATTACACTGTTACACTGTAACAGGGAAACTGTATGACTGAAAAGTCGCCCAGTAGTCACGACTCACAGAAAGTTGTTTAAAAGCACTGTTACGGTGGGCGGAGATAAAAATCAGTTACACCAACCAAATAAGCTGTCGACCGCGTCCTCTAGTTAAGAATAAAGTATAGACTGTGTGTTCTCAATAGACCCGTACACACGTAGCGTTTTAACCGCGGGGTTCTACATTTTTGTTTCTTTCTTAATCATCATTGACACGATTATTGATACACCATTTTATTATATTGACACGCAATTTGAATATTTACAAATTCTTACGAACAAACTATTTTATAAACTTTTCAAGGTATGCTCGCAGTACCGTAACATTTACAATAAATTGCCCTTCTTGAGGTCTTTTAATAATGTTATTTTTTTTTAAATTAGTGAGGTTTATACAGCGCAATAATATTTATTCATTTATTTTACGAAATAAAATTTCAATTTCAAGCATATAACAATAATAGTATTCATATGCCATAGCTATAGCTTCTACATCATCTAAAATTCCGGTACCAAAAATGAAAAAAATAGACAGAAAATCTATTTATTTCTAAAATAAATAGAAAACCACATGACAGTGATATCGAGGAAAATAGTTTTTACGAACCGCTCCACATGTAAGCAGCTTAATAGTTTTGCTTTTTGAATTTTTGATGTTGAATTAGATATTTTGTTTGTTTTGTTTTCGTTAAAATGCATTATAATGTCTGGAGCTACGCAAAAATATTTCTTGTTAGAGAAAGCGATTGTTCCTAATTTGAAAACGTAATGACAGCATTTCTTCTATTTTTCCAAATTCTCACCTTAAGTATTCCTGTCTATTTTAAGTGGCTGTTTTAACAATTGTTCCTCCCTCCCCCTAAAGACTTTTTTTCCTAATTTTCACTAATTAGGTAGGTAGGTCAACGAAAATCTGTAATTTTTAACGGTACTAAACGGTAGTAACAAAAAAAATAGACAAATATATCTTGCTTGTACTTAAGCCGTAAAAAAAACAAACATTATTTTTTCTTGGTTTTTATTTGATTTTTTTACAACAGTAACGTACCCAGGAGAGTAATGACCCACCGTAGTACCGAAAATTTCCAGATGAGTCCATCTCATGTTGGCCCTGATTTAAACACGTTTTCCTATTTCTAATTACCTAAAATGACCTATTGTTATAGCTTTGCGAGTGGGTAGGTAGGTAGGTAGGTAGACTGCTACTTAATGAAGGTTTATGATTAATATTTATAAGTAGGTCATATTAAATTTTTATAATTTCCCGGTACAAAAAATAGAACTCAGTTCGCACCCGTCCCAAGGTTTAGCTCCTTTTTTTCCCCGACAGGAAAACATATTGTGGAAAATGCGAACGACGAGGATTTTATCGACGATAATATTTTCACAAAAATTATTCGAGCACGTTTTATTTGATTCATTTTGGGAACACATTTTTTGTTGTCGATATTAATATAATAGGAATAAAAATAATCGTAATAATAATATAATGACCAGGAGGCGTATTTAAATGCAGGCATTATAGGCATGTACCTTAATCGGATCATTTTAAGGGGTGGCAAAATTTAAAAGGACATTGTTTAAATGTTGGTATTGACGAATAGAAAACTGTTAAATGATGGTGACTAATACAAACAAATTTCCAAATAAAAAAGTGATAAACCGCATGAAGATATTTTCAATAAAAATAAACTTGTTTTTTTTTAAATATCCCATACAGCCCCTGTTATTTCTATAAATTATTATGATAGTTAATATAATATTACTGATATTAATACGAAGAAAACAAGTATGGAGGTTAGTAATGAAAAAATAAGAGAATTATCCAATATAGGTGACTTAATTGGATCTAAAGGATAATTAATCCAAGTAATGCAACTATTTTGGAAGCAAATCTAGTAATAAATGGTACCTATATTATTCAAAATACAATTAACAACTTTATTAACTCTAAACATGTAAACATGTATACAGTGAATAAATAAGACATTTAGCTAGTTCCAAAGCATGTTCTATCAAAAAGATATTTTTAGTTTATTAACCAGTAATTAAATACATCTATATCATGAAGAAGTAAAACAAAATCGACAGATCCTAGAATGAATAATTGAAGTTATTAAAATAATAGGAAAACGAGGTTTAAACGATAGGAGAAAATGTAATGAGGCAGCATATTTCTGAGATTCTGCATTATACCACGGTACCTTTTTGGAAATGATTATATTGTTTAGTAAGTATGATGCAATGTTAAATGAACATTTAAATGTAATTATTAATAAAAGTGAAAACATTAATTTAAAAGAATTTAAAGGAAGAGGTAATTTTGTGACTTTTCTTAGCCATTATTCAATTGGTCGTATCACCTCAACAATTTCATTAAAAAAACAAATAATTTCTGAGCAAATCTCAACATCTGGTATGTTTTCGGTCTATTATTTTTCTTAAAAAAAAAGTTAAAGTAGTATGGAACTTACAAAGGGTATGTGTAAAAAATGTATTAATAAAATAAATGATACAATTTCAACATGGATTAATGAATCTAATAAAGATTTGAAAGTCGAAGAAGTTCAAAATCAATTTGAAGTTAAACATATTTCTAAAAAGAAAAAAATATCAAGTTATGAAGCTACTAATAGTATTATGAATGTTGAAAAAAAGTTTACTGTTGATGTATATAACAGAGTATTTGATACACTTATACAAATTATGGAAAACCGATTTACAAATAATAAAGAAAAAATACTTGATTTAACATTATTATCACCTATTAATTTTGATTCATTTGTGAATGGACTACCTAAAAATGCTTTTGCTAAATTATCTGTAAAATTAAAACCATATTTTGATGAAGACAATGAAAATGAAATAAAATATAAACTGTCTGAAGAAATTTTAAGCTTTTCAAAATCTTGGAAAAATTTAATGAAATCTGTAGATGATAAATAAATTGAAGAACTGTACTTAAATAGTGACACAGAAAATGAAGATGAGGATAAAGAAATATCAAAACTATGTAAGACATGTAAAAACTGTAGGATTTGTTGTTATAATACATTGATTAAGTATTATCTTTACTCTAATGCTTATCCTACATTAGCCATTGCTTATCAGTAATTACTAACTTTGCCGGTAACCCGAGTGGCCTGTGTTAGGTCATTTTCTACTTTAAAATATGTAAAAATACGTTTGAGAAATTTAATGATAACTATTTATGGTGACCGCAATTGAAAAAAAAGATACTCTATAGTTTAGATAATGATATGATTATTAATAAAGTTGGTGAAAAATCCAAATTATTTTAAGAAGTTATAGAATAGACTCTATGACAATTGTATGTATATTTTTTTTTAAATTATATATTAAATAAAAATATTAAAACAAAAAATAATTGTTAATTTTTATTTTCTTTGATAAATCAAAGAATAATTTTTTCAAGCTTATTTCTGTAGGTTAGCCCCAGAAATTATCAGCTGAAGAGCTAATTTGCCGGAAAAATGTTTTTCATTGCCGAATTTAGTACCCACTCCGCCCCTGCTTTAGTGGTTTTTCAAATGTATGAACAAAACTTTAGAATTTAGCATAAAAATGTATAAGACCTTAATTATAAGGCTTAATAAAATAAAGCTTAACAAAATAATGAAACAACATTTTTTGACATCAATATTTTTTAATTATTTTAATGTTTGTCAAATGTTTAGTGATACCATAAAATATATTAAGTAGAAATTATACTAAATTAAATTTACTAAAAAGATTTTATGTAGACTAGTAAGAAACTAGCTGTTAGGTTGAAACCCATTTTAAAATTGTTCATCCATCATAGAGTATAGAGACATTTATTATCATCGATTAATAATAAATTGTTGCTCACTGCCAGGTATTTCAACCAAATCATTATAATATTATTTTTATTTTAATTACTATCGAAAATATAAATTTTTTTTCAGATAATAATTTACTGATATTCGTAGGTAGTAGTGTTAAATGGTAAAGTTTAATAATTACCTACTTACGTATTTATTAAATATGGTTGGGTTGTCTCACAAGCATATTTAACAATGAACATACATTGTTTTATGATAACTTGTTAGTGTTAATGTCATGAAATAAATTTTTTTTGTTGGTACAATGACTAACCAAATTACAGGTAGTAAATTGCCTTCAAAACAAAACTGTTTAAGTGTTTTATACTATAATATGCGAAATGTACATTTAAATTTGAATTCATTATTAACTTATTAACTATTGAAGAATGTTTAATATACTGGAAGAAAGCATAGATTCCAAACAAAGATCGTGATAATTGTGCAAAAATGTTGAGAAAATTATATGAAGGCTTACGAAATTTAGAAAAAAATAAAAATAAAATTGGAAATTATATCGACTGAGAGAAAGACAATTTGAAGAAACATTGGATGATTTATTTTACATCATGCATTCAAATGTAATGAATATAATTAAAATTTATGAAGATAGAGAATTCTTATAAATCCAAAAACAAAAAGGACGTATTGTATGTATGCTTGGTAGAGATTTAAAATTATCTGAGAAGGAACAACGAAAAGAAACACGAAAAGAAACACGAAAAGAAACACGAAAAGAAACACGAAAAGACGCAGAATATAAAAGAAAAGATATACATCAAAATGAAACTGGTAAGCATCATATTCAGCGTAACATTTTCTATTTTTAACAATCGTGTTACCATAGAACAAAAAAGAAAAATGGCAGTTAAAATGTTAATAAATGAGCATGACTATTATGAACAAGTAGGAGAAGTTAAAAAAACATTCATTAAAAATCGAAGATATCCCTAATTTCTGACCCAAGATTTGCCGATGGATCTAATTACAAACAAATCAATACAAGTTTTTGATTGATTTGATATTAAGACTAATTTTTTATCACTGGATCCAATATACTGGTAACAAAATGAATAGTATAAAAAAGAAAAAGAGATAGTCAGATCATTAAAAGTCGTTAATGATATTGCTGAATGCCATGTTAAACTAATGTTAAAAGTAATTGTAAAATTAGGAAAAATTAAGAACAAAAACAGTTTTTTTTACAAGTAAATACATTTTATCAATAACTATTTAAGCTAATATTAATGTTTTTATATTTTTTCTAGACAGTTCAAGATAATCGTAGAAAATATCCTAATAACAACCGCGAAACTATATGTAAGTCATATAAATTATAAAAATAAATAAATAAATAAATAAATACTGTTTCATCTAGTCAAAAAGTTAAATATATATTTAAAAACAATGATCTTATTACTGACAATTTGCAACTTGTCACAAAAGAAGGAACTTCTGCTTAACATACTGTCAAACAGATGTAAAATTTAGATTGTACTTCGAAGTTAGTTAAAATAAAAAGTGAGTTTATACTTTATTTTTGGCATGGAATGGATTGGTGATAAGTTAAGATATGTGACATTTTCTGAACAGTTCTATTCTAATTAAAAAAGGAAATACACTTTATTTTATGATGTATTAACTAAGCTCAAAAGTATTATGTCCACATTAATTTTCTCTAATGATTATTTTAACCCAAAAAGTAGTATGTCTACATATATATATATATATATATGCTCATTATATTAAACTCAGCCAAAAAAAATGTTGAGTATTTTTATATGAGAATTGTGTTTGTATAGGTACTATTCAAAAATGTATTTAATGTCTTTCTAAATAAATATAATATTAAATTTTAAACTTAATAGGTAGGTATCAATGTACCATAAGATATTTTTTAAAAAAAAACAGAAAACTTCAATTCAATTAAATAATAAAATATCCAACTATTTTATGTTATACTGTAGATGAATTTAATAATTGCATTGTAAAAATTGTATAAAATGTGTAGGTACCTACTATTCAAAATTTGATATTAATTACAAACTGATACGATAAATATGTAGTATTGAAAACTGTTCTTTTCTATTCTTTAAAAAAGCTCTTTTTAGACCCATCAAATTTTTAAATTCCTCACAAAATATAAAACAAATTCCACTATGTTTATGAAAATCGGTCAGAAAATAGGAAAATCAAAAATCTGATCAATGAAGGTTTTCATAGGAAGGTATATAAACAAAAAATCTATGAGACGTATATCGATATTTCGCATATTTTTTCTCAGACTCTAAAACCATAATTCAAAAGTTTCGTGACATTGATTACAAAATGTAATAAAACTTATGAAAATATTTATTAATAATATGAAATATAAATAACTATTTAATATTCTGTATATAATTTATTGTAAAAAAGAAGAACTAAGAGTAGCCGACACTAAATGGTCAAAAATGTTATGTTTCTGTTTTAAACAACTCCATCTCTTTTATTATGCTTAAATCGATTATTTTAAAAATGTTTAATAAAAACGCTGTTGATTTATTTAGATATTTAAAACATGATCTAGACAAGAGACACAACAAAATATTTAAACATCTTAACCCTGAAAAAAATTAATATAGTATAAAATAATTATCTCCATTATTACTATGGATCACATATTTACTTAGGCTTCCTTCAATTTTCGTTAGGTTTTATTTTTATATAAATAATGTAAATAATTTTAAATATTTTATTTTTTTATCAATAAACTATAAACAATATCCGGTTCGGCAGTTTCAACTAAGCCGGTCACACACGACTCATGTACTTACATCGTAATCGCGTATGTTCGCCGTGTATTTTTTTTGATTTGACGATTATGTCGCTCTTATACGACTCGTATATTGACCGATTTCCGTGACGTGCCGATCATTATGTATACTTTATTTGCGTCAATTCTCAAAACAGTTAGTGGTGAGAAAGGACGAGTCATGTGGGAAATCCACGATTACGATAGTAAAATTAACAAATAGGTATATACAACGAACATCAGTGAATATTTAAATTGTTTATATTATAAACTACTATAAACTATATTAAATATATTGACAAGCGAACGGTTCGTGTGGGAATGATGTACTGAACAAATTAACAATACTTTGTTAGTAAGAAACAACTGTCTTTTTTGGGGGAAAACCCAAGATTAAATTTCTTATCAGCACGAGTACTTAGTGTTGGAACCGATAACGACGTGGAACCACGAGTGACTCAGCGAGTAAAAGTAATCGTTGAACTTGATAAGCCTTAACAAACCTAACCTACACGACTCGTAAAGCATCACGATTGACGATTATTGGCGGAGTACACAAGTCATGTCGAACCGGCTCTAAACTATCATTTATTATAAAATAAATATGTGGTGCTTATGTGCGATAAGAAATTTGTAAATTCATTAACAAACAAATTTAGAATTAGATAATAATAATACATAGGTATTAGTAAACCATATTAATATGTTATTTTATCTTGCATTAAAGTATTGATTATGAATACTATAGATCGCTCGTTATCCTGTTTTACGATGGCGTACAATCAGACTTCCGATAAATGGTGATATAATTATTATTATTACATAAAATTAAATAAATGTATTAATTATAATTTTGTTAATTATCATAAAGGTCGTTGGTGGTGAAGGGAAACCGGCTAACGAACAAAAGCTTAATAATTATACCATGTTATTGTACAGTAAACATTTTTAATTTGTAATCGTATTTAATTCATGTATTAATAGATATTACTCGTTTCATGATTTTATAATATTTTCTGTTAGACAAATCATAGAGTATTAAAACGTCTTGCGTTATGCTACCATAAAAATTTTACTCCGATATTTTCATCCGACCCAAACTTTTATTTTTTATTTTTATTTTTATAATAAATACACAATCTGTACTAAATTAGCGCAATAAGAATATTTGATGACAGAACAAAAACACTTATGAAAGATTTGAAATAAGAAGCCACCCATTAGTGGCACTTGACTGGGTTTTTTTTTTTTTGTTTCCTAACAAATCACGGCATCATTTCCTTTTCAGACGACGTCCAAGTAAGGTATGGGTGGACATAGTTTTGATAAGTGGATTTTGGTGTGTTAGGAGACGGCTGTGATATTTCTTGTAGAAACGTGCAACTTCTTCTGACATGGTTTTCATTGAGAGATCATTATGTAGAGTGTAATTAGTTACATAAGGAGGGGCATTCATTATCTTCCTAAGACTTCCAATGTTTTGGAATTGCTGTATTTTGTTGATATTTGAAATTTTTGCGGTACTCCATAGCTGTAGACCATATGTCCAGAGTGGTTTAAGTAATGTTTTATACATAAGAACTTTATTTTTTAAACTGGTGTGTTTGCTAGTAATTAATGTTCTTAACCTGAGGAGATGTTTAAGGTAAGTCACTTGATACGGATATGGTTATTCCAAGTGAGGTGCTTATCCAAATTAAGTCCTAAGTATCTAACTGTGTCAGATGTAGGAATAGGTAGGGGTATTATGTTGGTAAACATTAGGGCAAATGGAGTGACATAGTGTGAATGTTGTATGTACAGATTTTTTAGGATTAGGCTTAATGCGCCATTTTGTGTACCATTCGGACATTAAGGTAAGATGAGCTTGAAGATTTTCAGAGGCAGTAAGAGGATTTTTGTCAATTGAAATGATGGCTTTGTCATCTGCGTAGTCGGCTACAACAGTATTTAGGGAGATAGGCTGGTCTGAAGTATAGACCCAAACTTAAAAGTGGAATATCTCGTCAACGGATTGACGGAAACAAAAATTTTAATTAATACTCCATCTATTGATATTTTTAATAAAAGTTGTAATTTGAAAATCAAAAGTAGATAATTGTTTCACTTACAAAATTAAGGGTGACAAAAAAATTATAATACTGCTCAGGGTAGGCAAAATTTGTATATCGGTGACGCACAGGGGCTTTTCTCTTATCCTAAATTTTCCCAAAAGAATGGCGTTATTCATTTTAAATCAAATATTTATTTAATATCAATTTTTATCAATTCTTTAATTGTTTTTATTCTTATTGATTTATTAGGTTAATTAGGAGCCATCACTAAAAAACAAATACAGGCAGATTGTATAAAATCTAATAAATTTTCAAAGAAAATGATAAACAAAATATAGATATTAACAAAGTCACAAAAATAGAGGAAACAGTTACATTCTTCAAAATACATTTTTCTGTAAATCAAAGGAACATTTTGAAAGGTAGTAATTAATTAATTTTTTTTTATACATGTAAATATATATTAATAAAATATTTATTTAATTTAAGGTGGCAGTATTATCATTAAAAAGGATATATTTCCTATTAACGCCAAGGTCATACAAATAAAGAATCAATACGCCAAAAAGAGATTGCATTCCCAAAACAGGTAATACCAAACCCAATTGACACTATCAGGTATAATTAAAAATTATTATAATTTCATATGATTGATGTTACCATTTTCATGATTTACATTTAATCACGAGTCTAACCAGAAAAAAAATTAAAACAAAAGATGTTTGAAAGCACTGTTCATTAAATTTTATAATTCATATTGTTGAATTTATAGTAGCAATCTAATTTTAATTATACAAAATCTATACTTTCTCATATAGAAACAAAAATTTATTCATGTATTATAATCCATAGTAAATAGATTTTAATAGCATAGTTATATTTGCATCTAAATACCATTGTTGCTAATTCTAAACCCTTATGATGTAATTTTAATAAATTGTACTAATTTTTTATTTGATTTCTAGTTCTGACTACAAAAAAAAATTAAGAAGTTATTCAACTAAATTCCCTCAAAAAGGACAAATTACAAAGGAACCTGAGCCAAAACTACAAATTGTGAATAATCATGATATTCCAGCTCAAATATTAGGTAATTTTTTTTGTTATTATACAGGAAATAATAATTATTGTTGTTACCTTACATTGTATGACCCAAATAACTCCATATTACATAAATTCTCAACTTCCTACCTGTAACAATGGTTTGCTCATTGTGCAAAGTATGTCCTACATTTTACTTATATTGAAAAAAATATTTATTTATACATTTTGAAACAAGAAACAAACCAAAAATTCATACTGAACTAATGACAATAAAACAGAATGCCTAATTTATTATGTTTCCTAATATTTATCATTGCATTCTCAAATTGTATGAAATATGTTTTTATGATTAGGTGATGAAATTACAAACAATAATTCACAATAATTTGTCTAGTTCTCAAGAAGTATCAATGGAAAATCTTAGAGAGGAAGAAGCTAGTAAATTGTAAGAAACTATTAATTGCTCTAGTGTACCCAAAATCAAATAAAGATAATAGCATTAGAAACTTAATATCTAAATTAGCTATCAAATGTTTTATTATTAAAGAGTAAAAAAAAAAAATAATTAAATTTACACAACTTCAAGTTTTAATAGTTCATCGAAAAAATAGTTTCTTTTAATATTATTGGTGATATTAATTGTAACTGTGTTTACTTTTAATAAGGTACATTAAATATTTTAATCAAATGACCTTGGATACATTTAACTTATTGGAATATTAATAGATTACTGAAATAAACATTCTAGAATACATTTTTTAATGTAACTATAGGCCAGATTGTGTGTGAGAATAGATCTATGCAGTTGTTTTAAACCTCCAAAGGAGGCTGGTGAAAAATTGAAAATCAATTTGTTTTTAATGTGTGTGTTTAGCGAGCATTAGTTTTTGGCGGGATGTTTGACACTTACTTTTTTATATGGTACCCTTGAACCNTGATTGTAAAAGGAGATTGCAATCCCAAAACAGGTAATAACAAATCCAATTGGCACTATCAGGTATAATTAAAAAATTATTATTTCATATGATTGATGTTACCATTTTCATGATTATATATAACCCACGAGTCTAACAAAAACAAAATTGTAACAAAAAATGCTTTCAAGCACTGGTTATCAAATTATATGATTCAAACTGTTAAATTTATAGTGACAATCTACTGTTAATTATACAAAATTTATACTACCTCATATAGAAACAAAATTTATTCATGTATTATAATCTATAGTAAATAGATTTTAATAGCATAGTTATATTTGCATCTAAATACCATTGTTGCTAATTCTTAACCCTTATGATGTAGTTTTAATAAATTGTACTAATTTCTTATTTGATTTCTAGTTCTGACTATAAAAGAAAATTATTATGTAGTTCGATTAAATTCGTTCAGAATGAACAAATTACAAAGGAACCTGAGCCAAAACTACAAATTGTGAATAATCATAATATTCCAGCTCAAATATTAGGTAATTTTTTTTGTTATTATACAGGAAATAATAATTATTGTTGTTACCTTACATTGTATGACCCAAATAACTCCATATTACATAAATTCTCAACTTCCTACCTGTAACAATGGTTTGCTCATTGTGCAAAGTATGTCCTGATTTTACTTATATTGAAAAAATATTTATTTATACATTTTGAAACAAGAAACAAACCAAAAATTCATACTGATCTTATGACAATAAAACAGAATGCCTAATTTATTATGTTTCCTAATATTTATCATTGCATTCCCAAATTATATGAAATGTGTTTTTTTGATTAGGTGATGATATTGCAAAAAACATTCATGGTCATTTTTCTGGCTATCAAGATTTATCAATGGGAAATAATAAAGATGAAGAAGCTAGTAAATTGTAAGAAACTATTAATTGCTCTAGTGTACCCAAAATCAAATAAAGATAATAGCATTAGAAACTTAATATCTAAATTAGCTATCAAATGTTTTATTATTAAAGAGTAAAAAAAAAAAATAATTAAATTTACACAACTTCAAGTTTTAATAGTTCATCGAAAAAATAGTTTCTTTTAATATTATTGGTGATATTAATTGTAATTGTGTTTACTTTTAATAAGGTACATTAAATATTTTAATCAAATGACCTTGGATACATTTAACTTATTGGAATATTAATAGATTACTGAAATAAACATTCTAGAATACATTTTTTAATGTAACTATAGGCCAGATTGTGTGTGAGAATAGATCTATGCAGTTGTTTTAAACCTCCAAAGGAGGCTGGTGAAAAATTGAAAATCAATTTGTTTTTAATGTGTGTGTTTAGCGAGCATTAGTTTTTGGCGGGATGTTTGACACTTACTTTTTTATATGGTACCCTTGAACCTCAATACTTTTGAACAGATTCTTTTAGAACTATTTATTTTATAACTATTAGATTTAATATCCTTCCAATTAAAAACTGTTTATAATCTTTATAAAATCACTGACTTAACTGAGTTTTACAAAGTAATGGCCTATTGTTCTAAGGTTACCATAACTGCAATTCTTCTTATTGTAGTTAAACTATTAGATGCTTATAACTTTTTCTTACTAAATGATTTAAATTGTATTAATTGATTCTTTTAATTTGTAGTTCCAACTTAATGAAGTCAGGTTTTAGTTCAATCCCAAATAAAGACAAAAAAAAGAGTATAAAATTGTTAAATTTATGTGAGCCAACAGATCAAATTTTTAATAATTTGAATATTGTATCTCCAGAATTAGGTAATTTACTCTTAGTTAAAAATTTCAATATGTTTTCATAATGGAAAAATTAATGTTTTAGTTTATTTTATTTTAAATGGTGGATCAACTTCCCTTAAAAAGGAAACTTCAACAGCAAATTTATGTGGGCCAGAAAATCAAACTCTTAATAATTTGAATGTTTCATCACCTGAATCAGGTAATTTATTTTTATTTATTCTATAAATGTACTGAGAATTTCTAAAACACTAATAACAGTGGTTTGAGCTTTCTCTTGGTAGCCCAGACAAGTTTATTCTACAATTATTGAATAATATTTGACATTCACTATGTATGCACACCAGTGTTAAATGATATATCAAACTACTCAAACCCCAACCTTTTTAATTCAAAACACTTCTATTTATTTATTAATAAAATTTAATTTGTTATCAATCTAGTAATCCAATATTTGACAAAACTGTCAAATATTTTAGAGATGGTGTAAACCTAGCTTTACTTACAAAATTTTGGTATTACAAAGAATAAATATATCTCATTTATAATGATATATTAAAGTGTAATAATTTTGCTACTATGTGTTTGAAGAGTTAAGAAACCTGTAATTCAATTCACAATTGTAAATATTTTTTGGTTACTTATAACTAATTTCAAATTAGTAGGTATTTTAGATTTATAGTTAAGCTGAACAAATTTTTTACTAAGGTCGGTTTTTCAACTGTTATTATTATTACTATCAGCTATCTAACAATTAGTTATGTTAATTTAATTTTGTAATATAAGTTACTATTTAGGCTGTGCTTTCAACCACTTGAAAATTAATTGTCGTTACATCAATTGGATTTTCTCATAGATCATACATACCTACTTAATCTTAATACTTTCTGTATTCATTGTTGTTTTTTGAAATCTATGTTCTGTACATGATGTTTGGCATAAAGCAAATATAAATAAATTGTTTAATCAAATTGATGAAGACTTATATTGTCTGTTATAATAAATTGAATTAATTTGTATTTGTTTAGATGTTNAGTGGAAAAACTATCCTATGGATCAATGCACTTGGGAACCCTCTTACAACTTAAAAAAATGTCAAGAACTTTTAAATAATTATATATCAAACAAAACAGTTAGAAAGAACATAAGAAAAACCAATAAATTTGATAGACTATATGAATCACTTTTAGCACACACCGATCAAGAATACATTGAAACATTACATAAAATAATTGCAGACGGTTTTCCATCTATAGACAAACAGTATGTGTTAGGTACTATTGCATATTTATCTACAGTTTCTTCCTGTCTTCGAAGTAAACACTTAATGAAGCAAGTAAGATATAATTTAATGATAACTGAAGTTAGCGAGAAAAGAAAAAATCAGTTAGAAAAGTTAGATGATTGGCAAAAAACAATGAATATAACTTCCAATTTTAATATATCTGTTCTTAACAATGTAGACTTTGAAGGACCTCCAAACAATTTTGTTTATGTTAATGAATGTTTTGCTGGTGCAGGTGTGATTATTCCAAATAATCCAATAGTTTGGTAAGTAAAATAGTTAACAAAATGTGCTTATTTTAATAATAATAAATTCTAATCTATTTTATTTTTATTTAGGTGTCAGTGTGATAAAAAATGTGGAGGAAAAACATCTAAGAATAAAGAATGTCTTCACAATAACATTCCATTAGCTTACAATAATAAAAAACTTACCAAAATGATTCAAGAGTTTCCTATTTATGAATGTAACAAAAAATGTGCTTGTGATAGTAATTGTGTAAATCGAGTTGTTCAGCATGGTCCAAGTAAAAATCTAAAACTCCAGATATTCCGAACAGATAACCAACGAGGCTGGGGAGTCAAGACCTTGATGCCCATAAAACAGGGGTCATTTTTAATAAAGTATACTGGTGAAATAATTACTAGAGAGGAAGCAGATCAACGTGCTGTAACCCATGAATCAAAAGCCACATATATGTTTGATCTTGATTTCTATACTGAAAAAAATGAATGTGTTTATACTATTGATGGGACTACTTTTAGTAATGTATCACATTTTATCAACCATTCTTGTGATGCGAATTTAGCCACATATGCTGTTTGGATTGATTGTTCCGATTTAAATCTCCCAACACTGGCATTTTTTGCTTCTAAAAACATTGCTAAAGGCGAAGAACTGACATTAAACTATATGACTTCGGACACAAATCAAAAAAATAAAATGAAATGTTACTGTCAAGCTGACAATTGTCGTGGCTTTTTTTGTTAGCATAAATAAATTGTTATTAAGGGTATGTCACATGTGGTTCACACTCATATGTGCTACCTATGTAATTTATCAGGATTGAACATTTGTTCCGCTAATTAAAAATTTGCTATTTCGTGTATTAGTAACATAGACAGACAATACAAATGTTGGGTTAGAAATCCTGGTAAGATTGTAAATAATATAGATTTTAAAATTAGTATAAAAGGTTTTCCATTTTTTTTTTTTTTTTATAAAAACTTAAGTTTGATTTATTTTATATTTATAATAATAAGTACATAATATATTTTATGTGATCCCTTATGTTCTATTAAAACTTGAAACAAAACAGGATTTTTAACATTAATTAAAATACAATAAATACATTAGTTCTTTTTTTATTTTACTTAATATTCTGTAATTAGTAATTTTGTTCATCTACCCAACAACAAAATTAATCCAAGTTTATGATTATAATATTAATCATTATTTTTTTTATTTTATATTATATTATGTTATTGAAATTATTGCTGTAAACAGGGCCATTTAGAGTCTTTGCTTTTTTCAAAGGGAAATATGTTTTAATCAAATTGTAAAATCTATTATTTAAAATAGTATTGACTACAATACTATACAATAAACGAGATAACTTTTGTAAATTTATTAGTAAACAAATTTATAGATAAAATGATTTGTTAATAGAATTATATCACAAAATTAGTGTAACTGAGAATTATAACAAAGAAAAAAATTTTCAAAATTTAAAATAATAAGCCACAAACGTCTTAATTTTATTTAGTAGGAGTTGGCAACAATTTTAATTATAAATAAAATTTTCAATAGCCTAAATATTGATTATTTGATTAAAGATTTTGTATTCTTTAATGCAAGAAAATTGTGTTTTTAATTGAATATTGTTATTGTATTTTGTTTTTCACTAACTTTATACTATTATAACATAGGATATAGATTTTCCTCTTGATGTATTTTTTTTTTATATTTTGAACAAGGGTAGATATTAGCAAAGAATAATACAAATAAATTAACAATTTGTATATAAAACATTATTATAACTACTACTATTTGTAATGACATATACAATATGGTATATATCATAATTTTAATATTGGTCAACTAGTTATATCATAATATAATATTATATAACATTAATATTATCTACACTACATTTTATTATAGTGCACACTGCTTTATTTTATCAGTTTATAAGTCAATTAAGATTAATACAAAATAGTATGTATATAACAGTTAAATATTTCAACATAATAATAAGACATGATAATGAGAACAGGACAACACCACTAGACTATTTTCCGCATTCTTTCTCATAAAATACTCCTCGATTCATTAGGCCACTGGATCCTGCCTTGACAACTCGTCATCTTTTTTCGTCTTCCCGCGAGTGTGTGTTGTTCAGACATCATCATTTTTAACTAAATCAAGTGTTTATTTTATCATTCCTACTACTTATTCTCATCAACATAATAAATAAATATAATTATACCTGTATTCAAAATCAACATTGTTGCTGAGGATACTCCGTTCAAGATAGGTAAGTATATTATTGTTACCCTTCATAGTTTATATTTTATATTAATTGTTTCCTTACCTAGGCTGTAATAAATAATCTAAGTGGTTAGTGGATATACGTTCACTTGCTTTGTACTCCATTATTCACCTTATTACATATTATTATTATAAAACATTTTTTTGATTTGTATTTTTAGTTAAAATAAACTTAATTTTAAAGATAAATATCTGGTGTTTAATGAATAAGAGATGTTTTAACTGGCATAAAATTGTACATTGTATTCCAAAAATCAATCATTTAGTTATATTAATGTACTAATGACATACTTGTTCTATTCATATTCAAATAAATATCAATACTTAAAATGTAATTTAAATAATTGAAAATCGGTACTAATAATGAAAAGTTACATCAAAAAGGCCAAGTACAAAATTGCATACATATTTAATATTTTAGTACACTAAATCTGTAATCCCAATATGGTTCATGATAGTTTTTGAGTAGATGGTACCTTTATTTGTGCATTTTCTAATTAAATTGCCCAGTTACACACAAATTTAATTAATGTTCATGTGTCAAGTTTCAAAGAATTAAAATAACAGTTTCTTGTAGAATTCTTGAATGAAGTATGTAACTTCAAGAAATCCATGGATTTCAAAAGCATTTAAAATATTTGTTCCATTTTTAAGTTATTTATTAATAAATAAGTTTAAATATTTAGGTTATACAATTATAATAGGCAAAAAATTACTAAAGTTAATGATTTTCAGTTTTTTGTTTTTTATGAGAGACAATTAAGTACAATTTGATTAAAAAACCTGAGACATCAATATTTAATATTGTATGTCTCAAAATAAATAAATGTTTTTTTTTTACTAATTAATGTTTTTATAATTATAATATGTATATTTTTTTTTTCTTAAATATCTAATCACCAATATTTTTCAAATGATAATTTCATAGTTCACTTTGTTATTAGGATAACCGGTTTAGCAAAAAAATCATACATTTATCGGTTTGACTTATTAGTATACAATGCTATCTGAATTAATGAGTTAATACGAGTAACTAGATTAAACTTAAACTTGTTAATATGCTGAAATCATATTATACTGATTTGGGAACCCATAGGGAAATTTTTATATTTAGTGGCGATTCAAATATTCAATTAATAATATTATCTAGGCAACTAATATTTTAAATGATATATCCACAATCTTTGATTATTTAAATTTGTAATATCCACATGAGATAAGACCACATTATACTCTATTCTCGTGATCAATACCTTTTTGAAGGAATAGAAAAAATTTAAAAAATTACTGAAGACGCTACTACTGAAATAGATACCATGGTAATAGTTGAGAATGAACCCAAAGATCCTAATAATCTACGAAAATGGATGCAAGATAAAAGAAATACATTCCTGAATAAATTGAACAGTTGGTTTTATTTGTATATATATTTTAACTTATATTATTATTATTATTATTATTATTAGTTTATAAAATTTGTTTTTATTTTAAATAATTATTGAAAATGTAAAGTTCCATCAAAAATTATTCTTTTTGCAGCTAATATAAAAATATTTAAAAATCTGTAATTACAATATTTTCAATCTAATAAATTAATTATTTGATTGCATAATAAACATTTTAATTTTAATTTTTGGTGGGGATTTGATATTTTTTTTAAAACTAGAATAATTGGATCTGCCATTTATTTTATACAATAGAAGCCCCAAATATAGGGGCAACTACTATTATGCAACCTGTAAAAGTTGTGGACTTTAAAAGAAGTCACAGCTGGTAGTGATTAGTTCACAAACAAATTTGATGGATAGCAATTGAGTAAAATTTGTATTTATATCTAAAAATAAAAGAAGGACATATTTCACACGTGGGTGCAACCACTGTTGTAGGTGGGAAGTTGGGAAGGTAAGATACAGATGGGAATTTAATGTATATCTGTAAGCAAAGATAAACCATTGCTAATGAAAAAAAAAACGATTCTAAGCAGAGTTCAGCTGATAATGTTGCTTTGTCAACAACACAATATAATGGTATTATGTCATATTATGGAAAAATGATTAAAACAATGTACGTTTGCATGATAACAATGATTCTTTAAAAAATATTAAAATAATAAAAACTTAATAACAAAAAATAAATAAAAACGATTGCCAATGATAAACTTATTTTTAATCTTTCAATTTTTTAAGACTGAGACAATTTTTTTCCTCATTATCTCGAATATTGATAAGAATTTAAAAAATGACCTCTCTAAAATACCACTCGGAGAAAATTTCCTTTCAGAAAAGTTGCTATACTTGATAATTGAAGTATGCTTTCTGGTAGAAAAAGTGTTCAAATAAAGAACATTATTATAAAACCAATACAGGTGTAAAAAATTAAAAATAGTTACAAAATAAATCTTAACCAAATCCATGATGATTAAAAAATAGAAACCAAATCTACTTAAAATCCTCCGAGCAAATTGTTGATTTTTGATAAAAAAAAAACACACCGTAGAGAAAAATTTAATGTACCTTTGTAAGCAACAATTAATCATTACTAAAAACAAAGGATTCTTAGTAGAGTTCAGTTACACATGTTTTAAGGTCATAACTCATAACATTTCCAATTTGAAAATAATACATTTCGTAAATTTTCCTGTTTTATAATATTTACGAATTTTCGTCAAAATTTGATATTAAAATAACTTTTTATTATTGACCACTAAGTAGAACTTATAATGAAACTTCTGTTATATTTTCAAGCATTTCTGTTTGGTCTAACCATTTTATCCACCAAGTACCTACTAAATAAATATTGTGTAAGAAAAAACTTGCAAAATTAAAATAACAATAAATATTTACCAACTGCTAAACTTTTTGAAAATTTACAAAAAAGGAAAATATAAGATTTCTGTCCAAAATTTTAAGTCTATGAATATTTTTAACTGAATGACAACAAAAAACAAAATTGAAAATAATCCGTTTCGTAAATTATTCCTGGTTTTCTCAATTATAATGAAAACCACATGGAAATAAAAAAAATTACTTCATTAAAGTGCCATCCAGATAAAATTTCCTTTCAGAAAATGTACTACAATTGAAAATTGACTCAAGATTTCTTATAGAATAGATGTTCAGATGAAAAAAAAATTAACATAATTGTAAATTTAAAAGTTAACATTAAACATTCCTCGTTCTTTCTCCGTTTTTTCCTTATCTTTATGTTGAAGACAAACATTTACAAAATGTTGTTTTAATTTTATAAGTTTCTTAGAACCATTTGTTAAAACTTTAATGCAAATAACACATTGAGATTTATCTTCTCCATTTAAATTGATAGAGATAAATCCTCGGGTAAATGCATATCAACTCAACATAGCTTTCAATGTGTTTGGTGGGCAACCCCGAGGTTTGAATATCACGGACTACTAGCCAGCCGTGTTATGGCTGGTGGAAAGG